ACTCCTCACGTCTCGATGTTCTCACAAAAAGAGAGGCCGCGCGAAGACCTTTGAGATTGAATCAAGAGGACCGTGCCAAGCATAATATTAGGATGATGCCGCGGAAAGAGGACCATTCAAGACGGATTGAAACAAAGAGTCGTGCTGTGAGCAGAGGAGCTTGACTAGAGCATCTCATTGACCTCGCCTCGAGAATACCTATTAAGAGTGAGAAAAGCCCGAAAGAATCGATCGCGTTTGAAGATGCCCGCAGGACGAAGTCAATAGACGGTAGATAGACTGTTTCAAGTCAATCGATTTCATTCCGTCTTGGATCAGTCAATCGAGGATCAGCTAAGAATTCGCATTTCTTTTTTTGCTTGATATTCAAGATTGAGAGAAGACTTATTATGGCCCCTTGCGGCACAGAGGTCGTTGCAAGAAGGGTCCCAAGAGGACCTTACTTGTTGGACAAAGGGGATGCCAGAGCGCATCGTACAAGGCAAGGCGCGTGGTGGATGGAAGGGTTTGGGAAAAAGGCTTTTTCTGTTAGAAAGTCAAAAGAGAGAGGGGGTTAAAGGTTACAACTGGGCCATAAGTGGAGGGAGTAGCCAAAAGATATCTGAATGCGACCCATTTTGACTAGCGAAGTGGTTCGGCAGGAGATAGATGGAGCGCGTGATCTCTATCCCTCTATCCGGCTCATCGAAGGACTGACTCCCCGAAACGGGACACATGGGTTGGTGAAGGTGCGCTGGTTAGCTGGGCAGGATTGGGCACGGGGAGAGAAAAGTGGAGCGGGGAGGAACCCAAGAGCAAGGAAGGAATACGCAGGAACGAAGCCTAATCCCTCTGGTCCTTCGCCCTTTCTTGCCTTCAACTGACCCCGGCCGGAACAGGAAGATTCAGAACTTCTTTTAGAAGAAAGAAGATCCGGTGATCTCTACTAAATTAAATGGGGCTAGGAACTCCTATCCCGAGGTAAGAAAGAATAGACGACCTACTAAAGACAGATCGTCAGTGCGGCTATGAACGGAGCTTAGCCATACCATAGGGGTCGCTCTGAGACCTCTTGTCGAGTGTAAACGCTCCTTGCGCCTATTGGGACAGTTGCTTTTAGCTTCTATTCTGATTTTCCCCATTCCGCAAACGGCCGATGGGAACTTAGATGAGTCTCGGAACTCATTTCCCTCAGTCTTTGACGTTGCTGTCCCCCATCTCTGATTCCGTACTCAATTCCGTGGCACCTGCCTGAACAGACAGATCGTCAAATGGTGACGTATATTATATAAAGAAGTGGCCGGTTCCTCATGAATTGCTTTCTCGAGTTGCTGTTGCCGAAGCTGAGCTTGAAGAGCTTGTTCTCTCCACTCTTGTTGCTTTCTTTGCTTTATTTTATCTGATAGTCAGAGAATTGACTGGGCGGTAGGGAGTGTAGCCAGCCCTAAGGGTCATGGAAGTTGGAAAGACTCACCCAAGCTATTCTATTGATGAATCCGATCTGGCTTTCTAACTAGAAATAGAATAAGTGAAGATAGATAAAGGAAGAGAATTGAGAAGAACTAACTGGCTTTACTGCGTTATTCACTCCCGGGGAAAGCTCTACGCCTTAGGTAAGGATAAAAGAGAGAATATTTACCCATCACTCGTTTCAAAGAGCTTGAATATTAACTTATTCATCATCTTCTTTTTTCATTTCGACTAAGCAGTAAAGGATCAATATAGGTGATTTTCGTCTCCTTACCTTCTTTTCAATAGCGCGTAGTGAATAGCGTAGTTCTTCTTCTGTGGTTTCGACTTCTCATAGCTACGTTTCGAAAAGGTCGACGACTGCGCTGCATTCCATCGATGCTCCAGGAAGAAAGCATTGACTCAACCCGGGGCGAAAGAGTAACCCGATCCCTTCGGTCGAGCCTATTACTAACCTCTGTTCCGAGGCTTCGTCATTGAGAAGATAAGCCCCCAGCGATTGAAGGTATAAGGTAGCGAGAGGCAAGCCAGACAAGTCAAGCTTCTTCACTCTTGGTTAGCCCCTTTCTTAGTCGTACTGAGGAAAGCTCCAACCCAACTAGAACCTCTAGAGAGTGGGAATCCCAGATCTCTGTCTTAAGCTTCCACTCCTGCCCCTGCACTGGTAGTTGAGAGAGCTTCATCTCCTTATTCTATCGGGTTCTTGCCCTCTCCTCTGTCTTAGGTTAGTAAAGCTAACGCGAACTCCCTTCCCCAACCCAAGAAAAGGATGCTCACAGCCTTCTGATTCAATTACTCCCGTACCCGCATTTCCGGTGAACAGAAGAAAGAGATGCTTTAGGCTTTCCGTGCCTAAAAGAAGGTAGCTCAGCATCTAGTGAAAGAAAGAAGTTTTAAATTAAAGAAAGGAATGATACGCCCCCCCTATGGGTTGGGTCAGTCTTGCCCTCCGAAACCCATATTCTCAGATTCGTCCTTATCGCTTTCATAAGGTTCGGGTTACTCTTATCACACACTCTGAAGAATCAGACTCAGATTGAGCTGCATTGCCAGGCTCCAACCCTGCTTTTAGCTCTCTTCGGTCTTCGTCGATCGAGTACCCTTGGCTAGAACTGGTTCACCGGTACTACCATCGAGTCTCATGCGGTCCTACTCTTCATTAGAGAGGGTTCTTTCTTCTTTGTCCAATACACACGGTAGGAGAGGATAGCTAAGCTAGCTTCGTTGTTTTTGATTGAATTGAAGCAAGGAAAGCCGCCTAAACCTTCCTAGTCGAGCTTCCCACGCAAATCATAGGTTCGTCAAAACCGGGTGGAAAGGGACCAAGCTCAGAGCAGAGTAAGAGGCGAGTTGACAGACAAAAGCGGTGCTTCTCCTAACGGGAAGCATTCGGTCACTGATTTGAGCCTTAGGTTAGGATAGGACAGTTAGAGTTACTGTAACGCAGTCCTCTTACTTCTCTTGATGTTGCTCTAACTGAGTAAAGAACGTCCTGCGGTAACGGTGGGCGTGTAGAAAAACCTTTCGTCAAGTAGGTAAAAAAGCGCTTCTCTTTGCTCTCGAAAGAGCAAAATTGACTCTCGGGAAAATATCCCGCCTCCTCTTTCTTTTGAATAGGAAGAGGGGCTGCTTATGGAAGAAAGTGATTCGGAAGTGGTATCTATCGCAAGATAAAAAACCTCAATTGCATTGACCCCAGTTAAAGAGGAGGCCTATCAGTAAAAAGTCTTCTTTTTCCGAACATGCCATAGGTTTAACGGATCCCACTCTAGATTCACTAAATGATCTGGATTCACTAACCGGAGCGGAAAGAGTAGAGCTAGGAAAGCACTGACCAAGAAGAATAGAAAGATAAAGAATAAGAGGAATAGAGCTAAGAAGGGATAAGAAGAAGAATTAGTTCACTAAAATAATAAATATAACTAACTAATCATGCCTTTCTCTTTATGCGTCTAGACTGATTGATAATTGGAAACAAGGGCTCAAAAACGGAAAGTTTAAGGCCAGCTCCTAAGCAAGACAATAAAAGAAAGTCACTAACTACCTTAAGATAATCGGGCTGGAGTCAGAAAAGACACCAATGGGCAACTCAGGAACGACTGCCAAAGCCGCTGCTGATGAAAATCAGACCAGAAGATAAAAGTTTTGATCGTAGACCCCTTTTATTTTAGTTTTAGAAGGCAGAAACAGAAGATTGATGAGGTCTTAACCTTTAGAATAGGGATCGCTGGTTCAAAGCTTTCTTTATCTAAGTTCTTTTTAGTACTTCTTTTTCTTTCCGAATCGGGAATTTAGAAAGAAAGCATTGAAGAAGAGGTAAATAAGACGACTAGTAAAAACAAGAAATAAAACTCAATTGAGAGATGGTATTCATACCCAGGCGAAGAGAAGCGGGGAAGACAAGGTTTAGAATCTTGGTGTAGATGAATTGAATCATCAGCTGTGACAGAATCTTCCTTTATAAAGAAAATCTTCATGTCCACATTTAGCTTTAAAAGTAATAAGGCACTCATATTCATCATGCCCAGAGGAGGACAAGGAAGGAGCGGTTATATTATAATGCGTTCTGCACTAGAATCAGAAAAGGAAGAATGCCCCATTTCCTTTCTTAGGGGAATAGCCGTTCTTGTCTCAGATGCGGGATTACCGGTCTCGTTAATCAATATAAATCGAATGTCCTTGCCCTCAAAAAGAGGTCTTGGTGTGCGAAATGGATTCAGAAGGGCTTGTTCTCAGATGCCCAGAATCTTTAGATCCGCAATAGACGTTAAATTCGAATTCGGAATAGTTTTAATCCAAGGGGTTGTGCACCAAGAAGACGATTCGAGAACAGTTCCTTCCCAGTTTGAGTTTCGATCTTCGAACTTTGTCTCAGACTCTTCTTATCTTAGCCAAGCACCAACTCCGTCTTAGTCTTTGTCGAAAGCTAGTCCCCATCCTCCTATCGGTCTTCTCCCATCTGGAAAGACTGACTAAGAGAAGTTGGAATGAGAGTACGGTCGATAGAATGTTTCCTGAAACTAGTGCCCTCAAATGCCTTTGAATTTGCCTGTGACGCTCCTCTTTGCCAAAGTCCAGCTGAACTTCAGTATGGAAGGACAGTTCGTTCTTCCTTCGGCTCCTCTGCTTCTGCCGATGATCCTTCTCGGGACTGTCTCATCCCGATCAGCTTCTGTTCAGTCATACATAGTGTGGCGTCCCCCAGGTCGATTGGGTGAACGCATTCTCCGAGGTAAAAAAGAATATACTTTGTTTCAATTTCAGGTCAAACCGCATGGCGTGATAAGTGAAAAAGAAATCTACCTATGTTGATAGCCCTCTTTCGGAGTCTTTGATTCGATAGTAGTCACCGCTGGAAAGGAAAGCTTTTAACAAAACATCTCTTCAAATCTAAGAGCCCGTGAAGGTCGAAAGATTTTATTGCTTCTCTAAAAGCTGCTATGTTGCCGGGCTAGTCCTTTCTTTTAGGAAGAGTCTAGTCTTCCCATAGCATAGTCTTGAAACGAAGCCCTTCGAACCTTTTTGCCCTCTCAAATCAAAAAAAAAAGCTTTTCGGTGGCTGACTTCTTTGCTTTTTTCTTTTCTGTTGCTTTGTCTGGCAGTTCTCCTTCTACCATGACTGGCCCGAAGCCGGCCCCCTTAACAGACATATCTGAAAAGAACATGGCGTCTATCAGAGCTGGTTCTCTGATTTTCTTCCTTTCTTGGGGCTATTCCATCTCGTCCAATATCGTAGCGTAGTCTAAGACGCTCAGCCTAGAAATCGACTCTGAGACCCGGCCCTGTCCCAAAAGAAAGTGCTTTTCTCTTCTCTTAATAATTGGATAAATATAATGGGATAAATCATCAACGGCTTTAACCTTTTTTCAAAGAGATTCCCCCATGCCTTCTAGGAAGATGAACTTTGATGACTAGGCTAAGCCGCTTCCCTTTTTCCTTCCGAAAAATCAAGCTACTGGTATCCCAAACCAAATCCCGCTCTTTCAAAGAAGATCGTATCGTATATCAGAGACCTCCCTTTGCTCTTTTCTTCGATCTGAGCTGAGCCCTCTGAATTGCGGGGAACCCTCTTCTGACTATGAAGATGCCTCGGTTTAGTCTTTCCTGCGCCCTTTTATTGTCTTTTTGCAATTGGTTGAAGAAGGTCGTTCTGCCCGGGCAATGGAATCAGGTTTGTAACCCAAAGTCAGTCAAGTAGTGAATTCTTCGGACATGAAAGAGGAGAGAGCAGACTTCCTTTTTGATCGAAGTCCAAGAACAGCTTTGACGGACAGCTTTCTAAGCGCAGAAAAGAAAGCTTTGAGTTTGAGTGTGGTTCTTCTCTCAACGGAAAAAGGGCTGGAAGAAGAATTTCCCTCATATCGAGTTGCCTATCGCTCAGTGACCGAGTAGAGCGAAGAGTGCTTGACCGATACCGACCGAATCACTCAATTTCGTCAATGATGATGGCCAAGATAGGAACTGAGATTCATCCATAGTAGGCCCTTCGCCCCGTCTTTGTGATTGAGGGCCTGGGCTTCACCTCTCTTCCTTTCCTTCTCCAATAGGTCTATTACTGCCTTCCGTTCGTTCTTTCTCTCATGTCAATTGCAAGGCTTTTCACTACATACAAAAATATAAGGATGGAGGGAAAAGTTTCCTTTTAGTTTAGTATGGTTTTAGGCATGTAATTTCATAAAATCATATGGGAATGGAATCGATGATAGAAGCTTCTTGTATTTCTTTCTAGGTGGATTTGAAGGCTAAGGCCTACCTACTCCTTAATGTTTTCCAATCTTCGTCTTTCTTGTTCTACTGGGACCAAATAGAAGGTCGTCCCACAGACATAGCCATGTGGTACTCTCTTTTCTAGCCCCTCGCGGTTCTTTTCGTTTTGAGCTTAAGGTCGACCTTCCCCTCTTTTGGTCTTTGTCCTTCTTTTTGATCATGATAAACAAATAAAAATCTTTGATCTCACTTTCTGTACTGAGATATACCATAAGACCGATAAGTTGATTCGAGATCTCACTATCAATATCTTGACCTAAAAAAAGTAATCTTTCTCGATAAAGTCGGTTGATTAGGATCAAATTCTATCCCTTAGGAACCGTACATGCACCTTTTGATGCATACGGTTCATCAAAAATCGCGAAAAAAAAAAAAGAATCAATATGTAGATCCCATTTAACGAATAACGAAGGGGTTTTTCCTCCATTTTTCAAGAAAGATGGTTTTTTTACCATCATTAAACTTATCAAACTAACTTCTCATTGATGTATTCTTTCATCGGGATCCAATTCAAATCACGATAACATTCTCTTGTTCCTGAGTGGGCTTCTTTAATTCTTTTAGGTTTGTGCTCTACTCCGATCCGAGTAAAGATCTGCCCGATTTTGATTTGCACATATAGGGCAAATGCCCCCAATACCGCGTCTTTTTGCTACAACTTCCTTTTTTTTTTTCAATTCATTTCACGCCTTCCACAAAATATTTGACGTATTTATCAAATTATTCGATTGATTATGATTAGCATAAAAAAATTACTCCTATTTCTAATTTATAAATATAATATGATACAAATAGTAATCATGGATATAGTACTAATTGGGTTTTTCTAAGCGGAGCCTGGATACTTCATTTTATTGGTCCAAACAAGCTAACCATAAATTATTCTAATTGATAATATTAATCTGAATACCTCCAAAGCATAGATCTAATTGCCACTTCACGCTCTAAATTTTGGATGATTTAATCAATCCTTCTTTGGTGAAACAGAGGATATCTCGATCGGGGTAGAGAACGGGGAAATCCCATAATGACCCAATGTCTCTGACAAGTCGCACTATACGTCAATCCAATTTGAACTATCCTCCCCGGGATTTCGAAAAGGGACTTTTGGAACACCAATAGGCATTAAATGAAATAAAAAAAAAATGAAGTACTCTATTTCACTTTGATGTGAAAGCGTAACAATGAATTTATTGTCTTAATAATATTGCTTTTATTTTATTATTTTTTCTATTTTCTTTATTTTTTGCGATAACATAAAAAAAAAAAAAGAAAACAAACAAGGGAAGCCTGCTTCTATCAAACCAGACACTTTCATCCCTGGCCCTAAAGTAAAGGACCAGCGACTTCATCCCTGGGCGGCTTGAGCCAATGCTAAGCCTAAGTGCACAAAGCATTGCCATTGAGCCAGTTGTTAGGGAGTAGCCCGGGATACTGCTCTAATAAAGAACTTTCTCTCTTTGGCCCAATTAGGGGAGAGCGAGCTTCCTGAACTCCCAACTTCCATGGAAAAAACGGAAATGGATAATTCAACCGCTACTTCAACAACATCAATAAGCTGATACAGAACTTCAATCTTGCACATTGAAGGGGAGGCATCGGCCTGATATCGCCCATTTATTCGATCTTTCACCGGGGCAGCAGGAACAGCAAACGGAGAGATCGAGACTCAGTCCTGAACTCCAGAAGCGGACGGATGCCCGAGGAGTTCTACCGTTGACGACAGCAGCGGGAATGGATTTCAAATAGCAGCTGCCCGAGAAGGCTAAAAAAGCGACATTTCCATTTATAACAAATATAACAAAAGCCATTGCCATTTAAGATCTTTTTCCACCAGGTCATAATACCCCTCTTTGAACTAAACAAAGAAAGACCTTTCGTTTGAGTTTGAGGAGAGAAGAAATGAAAGGAAGAGATGGGATTCATCAACAAAGGGATAGGGATAAGGAATCGCGGCGATAAACAAACAGAGGAGGCAAGATAATAGATATGTAAAACCTTCCCCTTCCACCAACAGGGCATTCTAACAGCCTACTCGTGCAAACAGTCAATTGCCCATCATTTGCACTGGGAATGGAAATGCAAATTTATAGATCTAGAGTCAGATGAATATGCAACAGTCTCTTTCCTCCCTCAAAGCCTAGTTGTCCACTAGAAGCAGCCAACTATGGGCTATAGGCTATTTGGCTTTCTTACTTACTATTGATTCAATGTCAATGGCATTTTCTTCTTTTTTGCTTTGCCTAATCAGTTCAATCCGGTTGCCCAATTCCCCCCCTCGCAGCTTGCAGAAAAATAATGTATGTATAAGCCTTAAAAGAAAGCATACTCTCACGCACGAAGAAATAGCGTAAAGTAGAAGAATAGCTAAGAGATAACCTGCCCGCAGTAAATGGGCGTCCCAAAAAAGAATTTTTTGGCCAGAAAAGGCAACCTTACCGGAAAAAATCGTAAAAAAGGCCGGAAACGAGAACCGGCCGAGAGCTCGAAAAACAGGGGAAAATGTTACATGCGGAAAGATACGGGTATCTACGGAACGAGTAGGGCACCAATACATAATAGAAAAAGAACAACAAATAAAACATGAACCACGAGATTGCAAAAAACCAGCAAATGGCGGCAACACACAGGGAACTTCTCAAGTACCCGAGAATCAGAAATGCACTCGTGCAAAAGAGAAACAAGCCCGGACTACAATGGTGGCAGCTGACACAGATGAGCAGTGCCATAAACAAAGGAATAAACGGAGGAGACCTTTCCGCCATAGCTTACGCCCTCATTCCATGCTTTCGGATGCGGGGTGGGGAAAGATACCCGATGTAATCAACCTCTTTTTAAACATAGAAGGCGTAGAACACATAGCGAATGCGGTGCAGGCGGAAAAACAGATATATTAAATCATAGGGTAGAGGCGGCCAAAGGGATAGCTGTTGATAGGGGGGACCAGATAACTGACGTTATGTATGAGCCGCAGGAGAAATCCGCGAGGGCCATTGCTGTTTGGATTGCAGCCATAAGCGTTGCCGTAGCGCTTGCCGGCAAGAAAAAAAAGTAGTTCAGTTTGAAGTGAACAAGGCGGATGTGTGTCCACCTTTCTATTTACAAGGGATTGAATTGATCACCAACCATTGGATAAGAGAAAAAAGAGGGATGGTTGACTTCTATGCCCGGCCAAGGGGAACCAAGCTCATGGTATATGAAAGTCTAAGGGGAGAAAATCAATAACTTGCCCCACAAGAGGGCATAGCTTCGCTCCTTGTCTAACAATGAAAGGAATAGATCTTGATTGACACCCTCATGAGAAGTACCCCATCTTTGAAAGCCACAGGATCGTATCCTTCCATGGTTCGCCGATGTCCCTTTGACTTGTTACTTTCTGGAGACAGAAATGTGGAATTTTCGTTTTCAAGAGAAGAAGAGCTATTGAATGAAAAAGCGCCCATTTTTTGAGTGAAAAAGTCACTATCAAGAACCCATAAATTAAGTTAAGATTCAGAGATCAAGATGTAATGCAAACCTGCCTTCAGATTTGAACATGCACATCTCTGATATGCTCCTTAACACCTATTTAGGAAGCGGCTTCGTAATCATAACTATCTTTTTCAAGATCAAAGAGGAGGACTCGGCCACCATCAGTAAGCCAGTACAGAACTACACTCCTTCTTCGCAACACACCCCTCCAAAAAAAACACCGTCTCGCGCTCACTTAGAGTGCTCCGCCATGGATGACAACTTTCTATGTGAGGAAATGAAGAACCTCCTGCTGCACGTTTTAATGATTTTTTTCCCCCTTCCCTTGCAAGACTGCCATTTCGCATTCGAATTGATCCAGTTGATGAGGTCAGGCTCAAAGAAGCCTTTTTGCTGTACAATGGTTTGTTATTCAACTTTCTCTCCCGTCCTAGGGATCTGGCTAGCGTCGTGCAGCGTTCGGATGAGTTATGGTGGGATACCTATATCTCCAGCCAGTTCACCCAAAATGCGAATTTCTTCATTGTAAGGTTTTTTTGTCCAAAAAGATGCCCTTTGGTTCTTCTTCTCTCAGGAAGAGAGAGGTCAATCTCTAATCTTCCCTTCTTTTCATCCTACGTTCGGCGGAAAAAGAAGCCGAGTCTTACAGCAGGAGTTCGGGACTTTAGCCTGCTGATAAAGAAATAGAAATACGTCACCGGACAAGATAAATAGCAAGTAAAAGACGGAAACCTTCAAAAGAAGTATTAGGAAGGAAAAGATGCCTTCTTCACTGGCCAGTTCATTACCTGCTTGGAGGATAGATCTACTACTTGCCTGTATGCCGATTCAAGACAATTTCAATCTGTGGAAAAACACGCTTAATCTCCTTGCGCTTATTGCATCAAGCACGAGTTATTAAATAAAGTGAATGGAGGATTTTATCGAAATAAGAGGAAGCCTAAGGACAGCTAATATAATCTGCATGTAAGGAGCCCATTCACGAGCACTAGCTTTCCGGGTTTTACCCTTTGAAAAACCTTTTCCATCATATTTCTTTTTTGACAAGAATCTTTACGATACCCACGAAAGGAGAGTTGGTATAGGCGAAGTAAACAGTTCATTGGCAGTGGGAAAGGCACTTACAGTAAGCTTTAGACTCTCGTCCATAGTCTAAGAGAGGTAGTTGACTTCTCAACTACTATTAGAGGAAGCTGGGGAAGTCGGCTCTGTCAAAAGGACTGCATTGATCAGATCCTAGAAAGGTGCTATGCACGCGTCATCAGCCAACACATCCATACTATAGCACAAAAAATCTTTTATTTGGTGGATTACGTCTGGAGCACCAGAGTGCAGGGGAGACAAGTCTGCCATCTGTCTTGAAAGAGAAGAAAAAGAGTTTTCAGCTGCATCAAGAGACCCTTCAAAAACCTCCTCCTCATAAGTAGATTGGCAAGGGTGTGCGCTGACAGATCATGTAATTGCATTGACAGTGAGATTGGATAGTTCCATTTCTTTTTCTCACCCGGGGTAGGGGAATGTAAAAACAGAGATCAAAGGGCAGTCTTTGATTCAGACTACCTGTTACGACTCACTTGGGACATTCTATCTTGAGAAGTGGTGCTACTAGTCTTTCTTCCCCCAAAAGCTGCGGGCAATCGGCTTTGAACATGATAAGAAGTTATTCAAACTCGTGTCAATTCTCCTTAGCCTTATGATCTTTCTCTGGGTGCATCACATCTAAGCCAATATCGATTCAAGCAGGACAACTACATCATGAAAGAAAGAAGGCGTGCTTTCCTCTCTTATTCTTATTCAATTGATCTTCTTTGCTATTCAGAAATGAATCTGCACCTCCCTACAAGATTCCACCCTATTCTATGTCATTTGCTGCTTGCTTGACTTCCTCCAGCAGTTAAGTTCTTGGTCTTATAGTTTTGAATCTACTTTCTTTTGGTTCTATCAGACCGTTCGTAGGGGATCTCCTAAGACTAAGAGGGGGTCTCAGGCACAGCCCGCGAGAGGTTGGAGTTTACCCGTTAGGATATCCAAAAGATTGTGCTAATTTGGACTTTCTTTAACTTGTCAATAAGTCAGCGCAGACGACACTAGTTTTGATTGTTTTTGCCGTGTCTAGAAATCCAAAGTTCCTTCGTCGAATAGCAATCGACGCTCTCGTCAGCAGACCTGTAGGAGATAGATTCCCTTTCTTTTCTGCAGCAGAGTGATGATTTTTAGGTCTTCTGAGTTTTCTATTCCAGTGGCCCCAGCACTTTGTGGTGATTGAAGTGTAAACGAACTCTTTTTCCCGTGTGCCGAGTCTGATCTTTTCTTTCGTGTGATGGATGAAACTAAGTTTCCAATTTCTTCTTAGTGTGAGTGACAGGTGCGCCGATCCAGCCGGTATCGAGAGCTCTAATGATCATTGCGATTAAGCAAACTAGGTAACCTTAAGAGGCCTGGCCTACTTGCCCCCTAAGGTCGAGTTAGTGCTATGTACGTCATACATAGACGGCGAAACCACCAGACCATAAGACTGCGGGTGCACAAGTAGCTTAATCCAGATTAAATTAGGGCTTAGGTGCTTAGTTGCGAGTCTCCTGCCGAGCCTCTTCCTTGTTCCATAGGCTGCCCCTTGAGGGCGCATTAATGAGTCGATGCTGTTACGGCTTTACGAGGTGGAGATATAACGGAT